TGATGCTGGATCATCCATCTTTAGGGACCAACTGGCACCCGATGGGTCATGTGGTCAAAAGCAAGCTGGTCTCTTTTACTTCCTAGGTCTTTACTTGTTACCCATTTCAGGCTCGGTCAATATGGCAGCCAATGTCCTTTATGAAGAAAATAAAAACTGAATTTGAACCTACGACCTTCTGGCCAGGAGGCAGAGCATCTAGTCACTTAACAACTGAAACGGTACACACACACACCCACCCACCCACACATCCACCCACCAAAAGATTTTACACTGTTGGTGACAGCAATAATAATCCATAAAATAACATACAAGTTTCATAAGACATGAGTGGTTGTATTTTTGTGTGTGCAGTTTTCTTATTTCAAATTCGGTTTAAAATTTATACCAAAATGGGGGTTCAAGTGATGACAATTGCAGGCGAATGTCTGGTTCTGCACTTCTCTATTTTGATTTGGTAGCTGTATACCAGAGCAAGATACACAACCAGACACTCACCTGCAATTATGATCAGCTGAACCCATGTGGTACCTATTTAAAATCATCATGCACATTCTCTTCTGCTGGCTGATATTTAGACTTGTTCCTGCTCACTCGTGTTGTCTGTCCGTCTTACAAAAGTTCTGGAACAAGTGGCAGCAGAAAGACCAAGTAGAGGAGGTGCGAAATTCAACTTGGCAAACTTCCTTTCAGAGCATAATTTAAAGTTTTCTTATTTTGATTCTACATAAGTACCCACACGTAGGCAAAATAAACATATCAGCAAAGCCTCACAAGCATAACTCCAGCTGTGCTTAGACGTCTTCTTAAGCAGTAGAGGCCATGCATCAAAGCATGTTTTCAATAAAATTATTATTTTTCTTCTGTATGGTCATCCGGTGGAAGATTTAACTACATACACGGCGATGCCCAAGACAAATGTAGGAGAGAATGAAACCAGTCAAATAATTAATTAAAGAACAACAAATGAGATGGTTTGGCCACCTGAAGAGAATGCCCTTACCAACTGCCACAGAGAGCCACGCTCAAGAAATATCATGAACACAAAGCAAGGGGAAGACCATGCAAGAGATGGACACCATCAGGAGCAACCTAGCAGAAATGAACACCAACTTGTACATTGCACTGGAAAAAGCATAAAAACAATCCTTACATCTCCCCCCAACACCTTGCTGAGGTAAATGGTGGAAGAGTAGAAGAAGATGAAGAAGACATAAACTTATGGGCAGCTTGTAATTTGTGTTTTTTATATCTTTAATTCAATTTATTTTAATTTTCCTGCAGCAGCCACAGAGCCCCCTGAGAGACCCAAACAGCGCTGGCTGGGAACCTCTGATCTAGGGAAAAGTGACTGGAACAAAGTTCCGTATAAATCAGCATATTACCTCCCCTGCAGTGTCTTTCGATGGGTTCACCATGTGTATGAAGTGTCTGTTACAAAAATAATGGCCACAACCAACAAGAGAACCAACAAACAACTCAATTCAATACACTGGCCCAAAAAAAAAATAACATGTACTGCATAAAACAACATTTTTAGTACATAAAGAACACATATGCACAGAACTGTACAGCGTTAAATGATATCTTTTACGACAATGAAAAGTCATGTAACTCCATTTGAATATTCTTGTGAGGGTGCGTGTCGTATATAAAATTGTTTTAAAAAAAATCCATGATTAGGAATGTACATCGTGCTTTTCATTTTTGAAGTTGAACATCATTTTAATAAATGTAATCAGGAAATATAGTAATTATCTTTAGTTCGGACAAAACTGACTCACGCAAAAACACACAAAAAATCCAAAAAAAAAAAAAAAAGACATTTGCATGATTGTTCGGTGAATTTATCTTGAACATTCATGCTAACAAATATCGACATTTATAGTCATGGAAGGTCATTTACAACACACGTACATTGGGTCTCTATTCTCATCTACCATGGCACAAGCATCAAATGCATTTCTATTGCAGAATGTACACTAGAACTGTTATCAAGTACAATCATTCTACGGCTGCTGCACTGATTTCCATGTAATGGATTTTGCAAGCAATGGACACAACCGACAGCATCTGCTATGCTTACATTTTATGTTACTTAATGATAACTAAAATATTTGAAAACCATATCTGACACTTTGATATTGATTTATGTACAAGTTTTTCTTCATGTTCTTGTTTCTAGTGCTAGGATTTTTCCTTTTGTCTTCTTCTTTCTTATCTAATTTTTTTTAGTCCGGGGGGGGTGCCATATATTCAAGAGAATGCCTCCCGAGACAGGCTGAAAGTCACACGTGTACAAGTTTTGTACCAGCTGAATGTTGTTCTTGACTACACGCATTATTCCTTTTCTTTCTGCAGCATAATTGGTGATGTCAGCCACTACAGACTTCATTTTGATGACTGACCAGAGACAATCTGCAATATCAGAGAGATTTTCCTGCCCATTTGTAAATTAAAATGGGGGAATAAGTGTATATCATAAACTGTTACACTGTTAACCACCCTTACAATCAAACTAATAATGCACCCAAAATTACATTACATTTCTTTTATGTGTTTCTGATTTCTGTCCCTTAACCTGGCATTGAATCACAACTTGGCATGTAAAAAATTAATTCAGCAAAATCTATTTTGATTTCTGTTCTCTTTTCCACTTTACCGAGCACAACGTAACCTCTGAAGTTTCTTATTTTAACTTCAAAACTGTCTCCTGCAATCTGTAGCGGATGCACAAAAATATGTCAAACATTTGCTTCATCCGTTCTTTATGTTTAACCCTACCAGACGCCCTGAACCTAACTGTCCCTATAACCTGAGCTCCTGGGCACTAACACGCAAAAAACCAACATGATGTACAAAAAAATTAGTAACCTGCAAACAAGTGGTTAGAATAAGATAAAACTTGGAGACATTGTAGAAAATAGGTTTACCTTTCATCTAGCGACAATCTTCCCCCTTTGTGTGCCAATCCAGCTAGTAGGATCAGCCTTGATTCGCAAAGTAAGCACCAGATGTTGCTGTTTGAGGGGTACGCCCCCTTATCTTACTGACTATTGATCTAGTTTTAAATCTTCTAAATTTTAATAATTCTCCTCCTCACTCTAGCTCTAACTGACTGTGTCACTTCAACTGGGAACGTATTCTCCATGAACGTATTCACAGTCTGAATTAACCAAAGTATCGATCAACTGTTGGACTGTGATAAGCCTAGACCTACGTCACTTTCTTGTCGAAGCCGCTCGTTTCATTGAGAATTTTTCGAATTTTTTTCACATCAAACCACACAAAGAAATCTTAACACACGTCGGAAGTCATTGGCAACGACTAACAACGAAGTCGGATGGTGATTGGCTGGGTATTTTTAGTCTGTGACGCATATTTGTCACGTACTACGTAAATTCCCGGAAATGTGAGCCAGCGGTTTAGCGGCTGGTTAGAAAATTCCCGGAAAATCGGGCCAGCGGTCTCGTAGGGTTCATTCTTAACAAACGCTGCCTCTCAGCAGAAACATGATGATTAACAAAATGTCACAGGAGTTCTACAATCATTAAGTTTACATGTGTGCTTCTGCAGAAGAAATGCAGCAACTCCTACACTTGAAAATCAGGTTACACAATAACTCCCTAGTCCATTCCAAAATTGTGCTCTCAAACTTCAACAAATCTCTCGAAAGCCCCCTGCGGATAAACACAGATTTACAACTGCATAAGTACTGCTGTTTTCTTACCGCAGCAAATTTCTTTGATCTTTGTCAGACTAATAATTTGTACACCCCAACACACACACAAAAACATACAGTAACTGACACAAATGATCTACTTTTTATGAGCCAGCCAGCAAGCATTATGGCAGTACAAGACGTATCCACTTCACTACTCAAAACATAGCAGCCTTAGTTTTCTTGCATGGATTATCTCCAAAATGCCAACCTCACCTCACGCCATTTACTAAAAACATGCTAACTGTATGCTTTGAGTCAGTGTCTGTTTTATCATATACCAAAAATAAGGCAAAATAAAAACTAGAAGTTTGTTTCAGGTATAATCATTTTCCTATAATTACATGATTTTTAACATGTTGCATGACAAATTTCAATAATTTACACTAAACAGTTTACTGATTACAGATGTTTTAAAGCTCTGGCTTATAGGTACTAATTAGCAATAATCATTGAAAAACCAAAATAAAATAATTTTGAAAATATATGTGTGAGAAAACAGTGAGAAAAAAGCTTGTGATTTCACTACAGAAATAAAAGTGAAGAAATTATTAACACAGTTATTAAAATTGTTTTAAAAATCTTCAGTGCCTTATTTTCTTTTGGCTGCTATGGTTTTAAAAATACACAGACAGATTTAGGACTTACCACAAGTAATTTTCTTCTTTTTAATAGGTAAATTTTAAATTTTCTGAAAGCCCTACTAGGCACAAGAAATTAAAATATTATGGCAAGTCCAAGTATACAATAAAATTAAAACAACTAGAGTTACTCAAATAAAATATTTGGCAACATCAAATTTCAAATTCACACACACAAAAAGGAAAAAAATATTTTTGAAAAAAATTAAAATAAAAATTACATAAATCCATGAAATGCTGATTTTACTACTTTCTTTCTGTGTGTGCATGTGAGAATCTAAATGAATACACATTACCAATTCATAAAATTTTTGCTTGTTTATTTGCCGAGGCAACAATATACATAAACAGACTCATACAAAAATATATCTGAAGAGTGCTTTAAAGCAATAAAATGAAACTCATAGTACATAAACAAGTTGCAAGGTACAAAAATCATAAACTTTCCAACTTCCATGAAAGAATTTCGGAACACAAAAATATGATGAGACTAACACAAAGAAATCACTCCATCAATCTGTTCAAAGGCAGACGTATAACCAACAAACCATCACTGAAATATCACCACAGATTATGAAAGAACACTTCAAAATATTTCTTCCTGCATCACGTATGAAAGCTGTTGTAGCTCCACTACTTCAACTTCCGGTTTCCGGTCTGGGTAGTGAGACTATAACCTGAACCACATGGTTCTTGGGAATCTTCGCATCTTCAATACGTAATTTATCATTGAGCAAACGTCCTGCATAAAACCACCTCTGTCTCTCTGGTTCCACTCCAACCTGCATCTCTGAAAGACGTCTCTTGACCTTCAGGATGGTGTCGGTGGAGCAAACCTGCAGTTTGATATCATGACTGAGAGTCGACAGTCGGAATCGGATGGGATGTTCTACACCAGGCACAGAATTTGCTTCTGGGTCAGGAGCTGTGTCGTTTTCACTAACATCTTCAATCAGGTTCGCAGGTGCGCTTAAGACATAATGAGGAAGTTGGTACCGGTTCCCCAGTTCATCATAGCAATCCATTAGAGTGCCTGAAAAAATATTCAAAATTAAAAATCAACAGGCCATAAAGAAATTCTAATTGATTATAAATCTATACACTCCTGTGTTTTACTAGGACCTTCATGGAATCACAGAATAGAAAAACTACATCCCACCAGACGTCAAAAGAGGTGACTAAGGGTTGACTACTGCATCCTGTACAAACCCAGCTCAACAAATTGGGGAGGAGCTCTTCTAATAAGAGAATGGCGATGGGGTTCAGAGAAAGTTTAAAAGAGCTCTGATCCTTGATGCATCTCTTTTTACCTAGAAAAGTCTCCAGAACTGGCAACTGGAATGTTAGAACTTTGTATAATGTGGAAAGAACAGTAGAGGTAGTGGATGGAATTGATGCAACAAGTTTATGGGTATAACTGTTTATCTCCTGCACACATTTTTAGGTGGTATTCACGATTCAAAAGTGGTGTGAAAATGATTACTAATGCACCTAGACCTGGACGCCAAATATCTGTTTGAAATGATGAACTCATTGCAAAACTCAGAGAACATATATAAGAAGATCATTGTTTTACTGTGAGGATGATGAATCTGGTGTTAATAGAGACACCATTCAACACATTTTAGTGCAAGATTTTGGCGAGGAAAAAGTTGCTTGCCCGTTTGTACCATATTCGTTGTCTGATGACCACAAATATCAGCGGGTTGAGTTCCCAAGAGACATCATCAAAACAAGAATTTCTGGCCCATAAACAAGTGTGTGTTTTCAGCAAACAACCAAAAACTCTTTTTGTGCCAAACTGCATTTCCTGTGGTGGACGGTTTCAAAAAAAAATCAATCTCATGGTTTACAGACAAAAGTATGAGATTCATGCCATGGAAGAGATTGGAGCCTCACTACATAATATTCCCAAAGATACCAGTGGTGCACAGCAACCAACCTCCATTGTGGAGACAGCACAGACTTTTAGATGTGAACCCAAGACATTCGGGATGCCAGCCACTACACTACCATGGGTCTTATTAAGCACGTATTACCTCTTCTGCCTTGTATCCATTGATGCAGCATAGGCCCTCTAACTCATGCCAACTCGCTCCATCCTTCACTATCCTGTGTAGCTCTCCCCATCTTTTTAACTTCATTCTGCAGCTCCCTTGTCCATATATTTTTTAGTTTTTCCTTTATTTCCATGCCCCTGTGGGTTCCAGTGCACAAACATTCTAGTTGTTCTCAGGTTCTCTCAACATGTGACCTATCCAACGACAGCAGCATTTCTTAACCTCTTGGCCCATTGGAACTTGTTTAGTACTGAGCTCATGCGGTTGTCTTTGTTGGATAGCAACTAATCAGAACCTACTTCAGAAGGATGGTATTAGACACATGACATCAACTTATAAAAAAAAAACCAAACAAATTCAGTTGGATGATCGTCAATATGTAGTAGGTCCTTTACAGAACGCTGCTCCCATCACTGCACACCTGACAGAAGCTCAGTCCCTCGTTAGCTCACCCGTCTCATGCACTTTCCTGCTTAAGGCACCTCTGACATCATGTCCCCATTTTCATTCTGCCCCCCCTTACATGGTACCTCCCCTACTGTTCTTTCCAATCAACTGTGGTGTTTGATATGGCCAACATTTTGTAGTTTTTGTGATAAGATACTGTTAACAAGCCAATTTTCCTTGATGTTCCAATGTTTTAGGATGTAAAGATTTCTTTTCTTCTTGGTACATGATATACTAAGAATCTTTTTACAGCATTTCAGCTCAAAAACCCCAGTGTTGTTCTTTATTGATTGAGAGACAGTCCACAATAGGAAAGATGCATCCTCTCAAAATTCTTATTTAGATTTTCCAACTTCCGCTATCGCATGCAGCTCTCCCCATCCCAAAAGACTTTTAATGCTGTTGAAAGACATTTTTGAAAAAAAGGTAAGTGCTGAGACTGGAGATGTTTCTGTATAATATACCAGCTACTCACCATGTGGTAACGATATACTAGCCCCATCAACAATAGCCTGTGCTAACGCATGGTCCCCTGTTTCTAAGGCATAGGAGGCTGCCTTCAGTGCATCCCAAATCTCCTTTCTTCCATCAAAAGCTGGTGCTGTGTCCCAAAACTCGTCTCTTTTGCTTCGAAGCTGGCCATCTGTTAAAGGAACATCACTCTTCCACTTGGGTTTTTCTGGCTTCAGAGGCTGATTTCTTCCAACTGACACTTTAAAAAACAAAAACACATTATTTTTATTACATAATTTATGTGCTGAACATTCACATTCCTACTCCTGCATTTTAGAGAGTAAAAATAGTTCAGATAGCTAAACAATTCTAACTACACAAAATCATTAATAACTAAACCACTTGGATAATGTGAGTTGGTAGGAAAAACAATTTAATGAAAAAAAGAAATAGATTTGCTGTGTTACGCCTATTCTTTCAGTGATCAGACGGTGGCTGTATCAGAGTTTATGTACCAGTTAACTCATTCACACCGAGCAGTTTACCAAGCTCGAGAAATGATGATGAAAACAGAGTGTATAACTGTCATAAAGACAGCTAGAATTAACAAATATGTGTAGAGATTTTTTTTTAGAATGCTCTTCATTCTGACTAAAATAAGCACAACTAATTTTGATAAGCTGATAAGGTGACATTAATTCACATATTCAATCAAACATGGTCTGTTGCTGCCAGAAAGAGTTACGGCAATATATTGTGTAACAGCAGGTCTTGTGCCTTTGCCAACTTGTCTACCTCCTCCAGGCTTCCTTATACTATAACAGCTTTATTCTTCTTCTCCTGCTTTGCATTCACCAGCTGTTAACTCTGCTGGAAAGTTTTGGTTGTTTGTCCACTTCTGGACTTCAATCTTGTCCCAGAGCTTCAGTTCTGCATGCACACCCATTTTACAGATCTGGCTTATTTGTATGCAGACTGCTGGTTGCTCACCTCAGGGAAATGCACTCCGACTTTGTAGAAAATGCCCCTAATTAGCTAACTTTTACTACCTACCTGATGGGGGAGGGGGGTCCTTATTTTTTGTTTATGTCTGCCCACAATGGGGCCCTGGAACCCCCACAAAGAAGTGCAAGCTGTGATTGTGTCGGTGATCAAAGTAGCTTATCTTAAACTGTTGGTTCAATAAGTTACATAAGCTTAGGTGACTTTATAGAGAACTACTGAGGGAAAGATTAAACAGTACAACCACAAGAACAAGGGTTAGCATATAAGCTTTTTATATATCCGGCTCTCCTCAAATTCTACCCGATATTATGGCGGCCAAACAAATACCCTAACAGGGCCTCAGTCCTATGCAGAATGCGGAATTTCTGCGACGAACACATTGCAGCAAAACTAGGATCCGCTCCGAAAAACGAAATAAATGCTTTAACAGGGTCTCAGCAATATGTTAATTGCGTAGAAGCGGATGGGGGCTGAACTAGATGGCTGGGACTCACGAGCAGCAGCTACCACATCTCCTGCAACTTTCCCCAATTTTATTTGCTCGTGAGTCCCAGGCATCTAGTTTAGATCCCCATCCACGCTGCGGGTAGAAGCACAGGGGATACACTCGGCAGTGAGTTTAATCGGAAGAACAGTATCGCTAATCTACGTCGGAGCGCGTGGTTTCCCCGCCATGTCACTTTTATCGTCTGTAATGTTGCGTGTCTCTAAATTGTCAATGGTCGCTATTATCATCTGCTAGTATCATCTGCAGAAATGCTCAAAATTGTCAACAGTCGCTATTATCGTCTGCTACTATCGTCTGCAGTGTTGCGTGTCGTGACATTGTCAAGTAATCCTAGTTCTGCTGCGATGTGTTCGTCGCAGGAAGTCCGCATTGCTGCCATAATAATTAACGGGAAGAAGTTCAGTTGAGAGCCATATATCTTAAGACAGAATAATGGTATCCCAGATCACTTAACATATCCCCATAGGTAGACTACACAGTATAATTACTATAAGTGTGTGACAGTACACTCTGAACATGTATAATGTGAAACCTGACAATGTTTACTTCTACAATCCTAGACAACTAGATAACTGAAAGATAACTGACAGGCATAAACTTATTAACATCCAACTGCAAAAGAATGGGGAAAAAAACAACATTCATATATGATATACCTCAATTTTAACATGGATGTGTTGAACAGGGTATATTGTAATATTGTTGTTTAATTTACTTTTACTACGTAAACTTGGATAAACAATGATGAATAGTGTGTGATAAACATAACCACAATAACTGATACTATTCAATGGACACCAAGAATAACATATGACAAAGTAAACAGTGAGAGATCGCCAGGTCCAGCACTAAAAGTGACATTAGCCAGGAAAACCACGAAATAACTCACACTCACCATGTTGAACCATCCCCGTAACATCCGACGATTCACCAGAGGGTGGGCCATTGTCTCTCTGCGATCCAATGCACCCACCCATATTAAACCATGGACATGAAAGGGCCTAGTCTTTAGTGGAGTTGTCAGACGAGCAGCAGACAAACATGAAACAGCAACCATAACACTGCTGCTCTGCTGCTGGCTGGCTGGCCAGGTTTCCCTGCCCGTGTCGCTCATATCCGTCCTTGGCCGGGCGCCTCCTTTCTTTAACTCTTTCTGGCCCAAACAACTCATGATGTTTTATCCATTTTTTTCCTTCCCCGTGTGGGTTCTGGATCCAACTGTGGTGAAAACAAGAACAGACCCACTGCCTCCCAAAGAAGCATGTCGTAGCAGAGTTTACAGCATATGAACGCGAAGAAGAAGGAGACTAACTATTCCCTTTATGTCTGAAACATAATAATGTGTTATTATATTTTAGCTTTGATTTATGTAAATTGTTTGTTTTAGTATCCAGAAGCCATGAGTTGTTAACCCTTAGGCTCGGTATTATGGATATCACAACCTTTCGGCCTTGATTCCATTGTAAATACCGTAAATCTGGGAGAAAATGTGGCTTTCCTGTCTACCCCCGGGATTGAACCCGGACCACAAGGAGTACGTCACCCGGTCTCCGCAAAATCCGGTTTAGCCAATTCCGCTAGAGAGCCGGGCGATTTATGTAAATAAATCTGGGAACCACTGTGGTAGCTTGGATTTATTTTCCGTTCCTACAACACAGCAAGTGGTTCAGTTTTCGTGGCAATATGTAATAAAAAAGATAATGAACTGTGTGCACAACCTTATGCGAAAGAAAGAGTTACCGCTTTCTGTACTTTCATCAGCATCAATAAGGTGCCGTCTTCACAATGAAGGCTGGCTGCAATGGATCTCCAACACAATCCCTCTCTTGTCTTGGTTGTAAACTCTCTCTGATTGCTGTTTGTCCATCTCTTGAGGTTGCTCTCCCTCTTGTGTCGCGTTATACCTCTAGCTCTCATGCACTCGACCTTTCCCTGTGCTACCAATCTAGAAACGATGGTAAACTGTTCCTCCACACGGCACTGAACGGCAAACCGTGGAAACTGATGATGACGAGGACTATCAACAATGGACCAACTTCATTCCACCGGATTTTACCCCATAGGTCTTGCTCTCGCTTTAAAGAACGCCTAGTCTTTGCTGACAAGATTTCACAAAGCTTGAACTCCGTAAAACCAGAGACGATCCCCAGTGCTCTCTATTTTAAAAAAAAAAAAACGAACTCGTGAACTAAGCTCAAAATTCGTGAAATGAAGTCAGGACTTTCTGGCGCAAACGACCTCTTCGGCGCAGATTCCTTTTACTTTACATATCCAGTCAATACATAGTCTCTGCATCATACCCAGGGTTTGTGTTATAGAGAGGAAGAACCTCATCTCTGTCTTTAAATGCTATCGACATGGGTTGTAATTCCTATGCATCTCTAAAGCACCACGGAACATTATTGTCTGGAAGCATAGAAAGAGGCTTAGCCAACCTACACCGAGAAGTTCGACATTATAGGAAGCAAGACAGTCTAAGAAGAAAATAAAGTAATAATTTAGACAGAATGAAATAATAGGTAGTAATTTAACCTCCAGGAGAATTTGCTAATTCGCAGCATCCTGTCCCGAAAGCTACAGTATTTTGGCCATGTTAACTGTCAGGGTTGCCTGGACAGAACGGCGATGGAGGATGCAGTTTCAAACGAGGCAAGGCAGATCTCGAATACGGACACAAGCTATTAAAGATGCGATGGCTATGGAAGATGTTTTGTATGGTGAGTTGATTCGTACAGAAATAGTAAACTCCTCCTGTTTTGTATGGCGAGTATTCGTGCAGAAAGTGTTAACTTCTACTATTTTGCAAAAACGTTTGGTTCGGTTTTATATCTGTCCCTACTATGTTGCATAGTAGAGTTGATTCGAGCAGAAAGTTTTTTTACTTCTGCTGTCCTAAGCATTACTTCAGATATTTCTGTCGACGGGTGTAACATTTAACTTGTTCACGCCCAGACAGGTTATTACTGCGATAACATTAAAGACTGCCTGTGATGTAATCAGGCTAGGGGGATCAAATGTAAACCATAAAAGTGTGATAGAAGTTACAGTAACCATTTTACTGTCTTCTTACCTGTCAGTATTGTTGGTGGAGATATTAAGCACGTGATCATCATGGTTAAAAAAAAAAACACGATGGCGTCATAAAGATAGTTAAGAGATGGCCACCCCACTTTTGACATGCACCAGGAAGGAGCAATATTCTGTTTTCGATGGATTTCAGCAGGCTAATTCTTTCAGCTTATTTTTTTTTTCTCTCCTCGGAAGAGATTTCTTCCCCAGTTACTTCCTTCTGCTGCTAGTGATCGTGAAAAGAAAATGAAGCGTAGTCGGCTCTGTGTGGTAGCGCGTTTCCAAAGTGGAGTTCAAGTTCCGAGGAAGAATTTGCTTGAAACTTTAGTTTGAATTTCAAGTTGTTCGAATTTTGAAGCGTTCGAATTCCGAGGTACGACTGTACAATTGAGAACAAAACATATAATAAATAGTGGAACCTAGCGGATACTTCCACAGGAATCCGCCGTTTTCCCGGTGCTTTTAAATGTGCACACAAAGAATGATGGCGGCAACAGAGGCAGTGGATACTGGGAGAAATTTGTCTTTTGCTGACAACGTTTTAGTCTACAGACAGGGAAGAAACAGGAAATTCAACACCAAGAGAGAGACATAGGCGGCGGACTTGTAATCGGGTTGCAACTTGTATGTCGATTCTTCGTTGGCGACCGAGAAAGGACACGGAGTATGTGAACGTGCCAGAATGCCTTGAGTGCAGTGAAATCAGTTCTTGGTTCATTTTTCATTCACATAACAAATATTGACACTGGAGAATGAATATTCACGTATTAGTGAACTCGTTGACGAGGTCTTAGTTTGACATAACTCCGAGTCTTTACAATAAAGGTGCAGCTGGGGGGGGGGGGGGTGGATGAGTTGGGGGGGGGGGGGGGCACTGTGTTAATATTCCATAATTTTTGTCTTTATTGTGTGACAGTCGTTTCGACATTAAAAAAAAAATCAAAAGGACGGAAGTCGTAGAAAATAGAGGCAGGCCATCGCAAATTGTGGCTACAATACAGATACCATGGAATGAGTTGGAGAGACCTTCCCGCTCACAGACGAGATCAAAGTGGTGCACAGATTGTTACTGTGAAATGTGTGACATTTTAGTGAGTGGTGACATTTGATGTCATGCTATGACGCCAATGAACATTTGGAATGTCCACGCGCGCCCAGTTCTCCAAGGCAACATCCACTCTTAGATACCTCTACCTGTGGATATGCAGTGTCGGCATCTTTTCAGGCATCATTGTTTGCAGTGCTACTGCAGTCGATACTATGTGGTAAGTATAGTAGCTTTTTACCCCCGTGTGGGTTCCGGGGCCCCCATTGTGGGGAAAACAAGAATAGACCCACTGCCTCCCCAAAAGCATGTCGTAATATTCGACTAATTGGGGAGCTTCCTTTGAAGTCGGAGTGCATTTGCCGGAGAGGCAAGGAACCAACAGTCGGTTTTCAAGAGAATGAGATCTGTAAAACTGATGCACACGCAACACTCAGGTTCTGGAGCAGGACTGCAGTTCAGTAGTGGACGAGCAACTATAACTTTCCGCCAGAGTGTACAGCTAGTGAACGCGAACAGAAGAAGAAGTAGCTTTTTAGAATCTTTTATGGTGAGTACAGTAGCTTTTTAGACACTTTTATGGTGAGTATAGTAGCTTTTTAGACACTTTTATGGTGAATGAAGTAGCTTTTCAGACACTTTTATGGTGAGTACAGTAGCTTTTTAGACACTTATGGTGAGTACAGTAGTTTTTTAGACACTTTTATGGTGAGTACAGTAGCTTTTAAGACAATTTTATGGTGAGTGCAGTAGCTTTTTAGACACTTTTATGGTGAGTATAGTAGCTTTTTAGACAATTTTATGGTGAGTACAGTAGCTTTTTATACACTTTTATGGTGAGTACAGTAGCTTTTTAAGGCACTTTTTATAGTGAGTACAGTAGTTTTAAGACACTTTTATGGTGAGTACAGTAGCTTTTTAGACACTTATATGGTGAGTACAGTAGCTTTTTAGACACTTTTATGGTGAGTACAGTAGCTTTTTAGACATTTTTATAGTGAGTACAGTAGCTTTTTAGACACTTTTATGGTGAGTACAGTAGCTTTTTAGACACTTTTATGGTGAGTACAGTAGCTTTTTAGACACTTTTATTGTGAGAACAGTAGCTTTTTAGACATCCACTCTAAGATACCTCTACCTGTGGATATGCAGTGTCGGCATCTTTTCAGGCATCATTGTTTGCAGTGCTACTGCAGTCGATACTATGTGGTGAGTATAGTAGCTTTTTTAGACCGTGTTTTATCTGGGCCCCACTAGTGGGGAAAACAAGAATTTGAGGCCACTTGATCCCCAAAAGCATTGTCACTAATAGTCGACTAATTGGGGAGCTTCCTTTGAAGTCGGAGTGCATCTGCCGGAGAGGCAAGGAACCTACAGTCTGTTTTCAAGAGAATGAGATCTTTAAAACTGATGCACACGCAACACTAAGGTTCTGGAGCAGGACTGCAGTTCAGTAGTGGACGAGCAACTATAACTTTCCGCCAGAGTGTATAGTGAACGCGAAAAGAAGAAGAAGAAGTAGCTTTTTAGAATCTTTTATGGTGAGTACAGTAGCTTTTTAGACACTTTTATGGTGAGTATATTAGCTTTTTAGACACTTTTATGGTGAGTGAAGTAGCTTTTCAGACACTTTTATGGTGAGTACAGTAGCTTTTTAGACACTTTTATGGTGAGTACAGTAGCTTTTTAGACACTTTTATGGTGAGTACAGTAGCTTTTTAGACACTTTTATGGTGACTACAGTAGCTTTTAAGACAATTTTATGGTGAGTGCAGTAGCTTTTTAGACACTTTTATGGTGAGTATAGTAGCTTTTTAGACAATTTTATGGTGAGTACAGTAGCTTTTTATACACTTTTATGGT